CACAATACACCCTGACATTAGCTACCCATTTTTATCATGCTTCCTTCATTCTTGATTAAAATTTCATAAAAGTAATTATTAAAATTTAGATCTTATAACTATTCTTTAAATTATATTTAGCTATTTGACAAACAAAAATAAATCTCACAATACACCCCAAACAATATTGGAATCTCTTAAAATGACATTAGCTACCCATTTTTATCATGCTTCCTTCATTCTTGATTAAAATTTCATAAAAGTAATTATTAAAATTTAGATCTTATGATCAGGCCGAGCCCAGGCCTGCAATAAAATTTGTTTTAGTTCATCTGACTCATAGTTAATAATAAAAAAATTCCCAAGCCCAGCCCCATAATTCATCTAAAAATACAATCAGAATATGAAAGTCGCATAGGCCTTGGTTTTTTGATAAGGCCTGGCCATGTCTGCGAAAAAAATTTCCCGGCCAATGTTATCTCTATTTTAAATTTTACTTAATATGATATCTATTGGAATATAAAATTAAATTTAAGAAATTGTTATTAAATTACAATAAAAAATAAATGAAAATTATATAAAAGTTGCATTGGACTTGGTTTTTTGATCAGGCCTGGCTATGTCTGCAAAAAAAAATATCAGGCCAATGTCTATATCCCATATTTAAAATTAAAAAATTTTCAAGAATCTCTATTTTAAATTTTACCCAGATATTTCTAATACCCATAATGCTCGCGGGTTACATTGCAACAATTTTACCTCTTTTTCTCTTAAATTTTAATATTTTTATAAAATATATTAATAAAGCATATTTCTTATCATATACACCTAACTAATTAGTAATTACCCACAATAGAAATAAATGGAATATTAAAATTAAATTTAAGACATTGTTATTAAATCAAAATAAAAAAAATGAAAATTTTATGAAAGTTGCATGGGACTTGGTTTTTTGATCAGGCCTGGCTATGTTTGTAAAAAAAAATTTTCAGACCAATATCTATATCCCATATTTAAAATTAAATTTTCAAGGATCTCTATTTTAAATTTTAGCCAATATGATTTCTATCACAATTTAAATTTTGATATTTCTAATACCCTTAATGTTCACGTGTTACATTGTAACAATTTTACCTCTTTTTCTCCTAAATTTTAATATTTTTATAAAATATATTAATAAAGCATATTTAGTATCATATACACCTAACTTAATAATTACCCATCAACCCGTCATTCTAATTAAATTAAGTTAATTTTATTAAAAAAAAGTTTCATATATATACAAATATATCAAAATATAATATTGAAGGGGGGGGGGAGGCTTAATGGAAAAAAGTTTGTCTTCTGAACGATAGGTTGCGAGTTCGAATCCCAGTGTTGCCATAAAAAATTTTTTACATTAACGAGATAATAATAGCTCTCAATTTATTTAACATTAAGATGATTGATAGGAAAGGTGATAGAAAAAAGATATTTTAACATTAGGAGATAGGAAAGTGAAAAATTAACGTTAAGATGATAGGAAAGTTGATAGAAAAAAAATTAACATTACCAAGATACGAAAACGTTCATTTCTAGATTTAGGAATTTTTTTGTGTTACCAGTTATTTGAAAATAATATTTAATTTTTATTCTTTGTAACGTTAATAAATAGAATACTATGGAAAATAGACAATCTCCCAAACAATTAAAGGAAAGTATCCGCAAATTACGGAATCACATAAAATCCAAATATAATAATCCTAAATTAGTTTCATTAACTACAACTCATAATCCTAATTCAAATTTATATCTCCCAATTGATTTATCAATTAAAACTGCTATGATTAGCGCATGCATAAGCCGTTTTCATCAAAAAATTAAACAAATCTTCCCTACCACTTACACTTCTATTTTGGGAAATAGAAAAAGATTAAACATAACAAAAGAAGTTTTATTTTCCAATAATTTAGATAAAATATTTTTATTTTAAGGAAAGTGGTCGTAAAGTGCGAAGTCATATAAAATCCAAGAAACCCAAACCTATAGTAGCTTTAGTACCTACACCTCAAAGTATTAATTTAAATAAACCTTTTCCTATTGATATATCAACTAAAACTGCTATGATGCGGGCATGTGCTGCCCGTTTTCGTCTAAAGCTTAAACAGATTTTCCCCACCACCTATACATCTATTCTTAAAAATAGAAGTAATTTAACACATTTTAATACTAATGATATTCACTTAATAACTGAACATACTTGCGGGCCTATGAATATCAATGTCAATTTTGTTTTTCCATGAATTTCATAGCTGAGAGACCGACCGACGGTAAATTCACACAGTGCTGTCATAAAGGGAAGGTTATCCTTACCCAAATACCATATCCTCCTTATTTAAAAAATCTTATATCAAACCCTCAAGATAAGTTACATAATAATTTTATGAAGAACATACGTTCTTATAATTCAGCAGTAGCTTTTGCATCGATGGGCGCAAAAATTTCGGAGCTTACAGGTAGTGGCCCTTATTGTTTCAAAGTGCACGGCCAAATATATCACCGCACATCTAATTTATACCCACCTTCTAATGCTTTGCCTACTTATGCCCAGTTATACGTGTTAGATACGACACAGGCTATAGATAAGCGTATACACCATCCAGCAAATAGTAAATGTAATAAAGATATTATGAAGCATACCTTCACGCGGTGGGGAGTGAACATCAGACTAACAGGAGCTCTGGTAAATAATGATAGTATTTAGGGTGCTAATAAGAGATATTGTTTCATTAAAAATAATATTCCCCGTCATTTTTGACGGGTTATCAACTAGTAATATATAATATAAGATATTTTTGTAATATTTTTTTTTATATTTAATTTAGAGTCAGGCATTGTTTTTCTGGCCAAAATGTTGAGTTAGCCATTTTTAAAAATAGACTCAAATCGAGGTTTTTAATACTAATACTTTGGAGATGGATTTTTTAAAAATTTTATTTTATAATAATAAGTTAGAAAAATACATTTTTAAAAAGATAGAAGGATCTAATGTTAAATAAAATAATCATGATCCTCAATTTAAGAGAAAATTATAAATCGGGATAAATGGTTCAAAATTAGGATCGAATCCAGGATCGTCGATACTTTGATCTCTATCCTTTAAAAACTCTGTAAAAATTATTTGAAAATGGTTAAACATAATCTCTTCGAATAGTTGTAATACATAGGAATTTCTATGGAATTGAAAGATTAAAAATTTACAAAATGTATTGGGATATTCTATAGAATAGCAATATTAAGAAATTATTAATTATTTATTTTAATTATATATGTTTTAGATGGTCATGACAACAAGTTTTACATTTATTGATAATGCTAACATCAATACCAACAGAATTTTATTATTTAACCTGATATTTAAAACTAAAATCTATGCACAATTCTCGGGTATACCTTTGCTTTGCCAAACTCTTTTTATCTCAGCTCGAACTGTTGTGCGTAAAAGTACGTGCAGCCCCCCCCCCCTCCAACGAGTTTTTCAACAAACTTAATTTATTCCATTTATATGGAGATGAAGAATACCTAGCGCAGACGTGTTGAATCTTTAGCTGTAAGTAAAAGCGCTTTAAATCATGTATCACGTGATTTTATAAAAAAAAAATTAAGAAAATTAAACAATTTATTTGAATGTAATTAAAATAATAAACATATAAATAAATTAAAATTATAATTTTAAAAGAAAACCAAAAATTATGTCATTTAAACATTTTATAATTCAAATGAATAAAGTGATAGAGAAATTTATATGAATAAATATGAAAATATTAAACATTTTTTCATATAATATATTTATGTGAATTTAAAATTTAATTTAAATTTAATAAAATTTGACATCTAAAATAGCAATATTCACATAAAAATAGCGCTATTATTATCTCCCCAGTTCGTTAAATATTAGTCTGTAGATCCCTTCATATTCATAACTCACTCAATTCGGTGAATCTGCATAGATTAGTCTTTTGGAACGCAAAAATCTATGACTATGATTTTACAGAATAATCTTTTTTGCAATTAAATTGTTATATCTTGAAAGATAAATATTTTAAAATTTGTCAATATTTAAGGGAACCACGATCATTTTGGAATTTAAAAAGTACCGTACCACCTCTTATAATAATAATGCATTGCTTTAAATATATGTTCATAAAGTTGACCCCGCCATTTTAGATTTTCAGGTTCGAGTTCGATTTTGCACCCGTCACCGTTTTTGAGATATTCAAAGATTTAAATGGGCATCTCAAAAACGGTGATAGTACAAATCAAACTGAAAAAAGGAGAAAACTACAAATCCATCGGAGATAAATCATCAAAGATCTAAAATGGCGGGGCCAACTTTACGGATTTTTTAAATCAAAAAACTTTTTTTTAAAATAATAATAAAAAATATACCAAAAAAGTTTTCCGTGATTTCAATTAAGTTAAGCGTTATTTAATAAAATTGGCTACAAATCCATCCGAGATAAATCATCAAAAATCTAAAATGGCGGGGCCAGCTTTATGGACTTTTTAAATCTAAAAACTTTTTTTTTTAATAATAATAAAAAATATACCAAAAAAACTTTTCCGTGATTTCAATTAAGTTAAGCCTTATTTAATAAAATTGGCAAAATTGTGAATTTAAAATTTTTTTAGAAATAGGAAAAAAAAAAATTTCTTTTATTTATTTTATTTTATAAATGTTTTTGCATATTTTTACTGTATTTTACTTTTGTCTAATAATAAATAAATTAATAAGTCAAGATCAAATCGATTCAAAATCTATTAACAGCGATGAAATTAATCAATATGTTCTGGATAATATAAATGCATCGAACATTGAATCATATATACGGTAATAAGTATTTTGTTTATCCTCCATTTTTTTAAAATCTAATTCATATGTCGTGATGGCATATGCAATCAATGGGGATTCGATATCTCTCAATTTTAAATCATCTTATTAAGGCTAAATTTTGCATTTGAAAACAAATTCTGGTTTGGCCAATGTATTCCAGTATATGCGTAAGTAACTAAATTATGAATCAATGACCCTAACGGATGGGGGGTGTACTACTATTTCATACAATTTTCCTGGGGGAAATATGTACACACTTTTAAGGTAATTCCTTCATATATGAAAATTTTGTGTAGCCCCATGATGGGGGTATTTTTATTTAAAAATTATTTTTTATTTTTAAATTTAAAAAATTAATTATTTCAAAATTTCGTTTTTCGCATAATTATTTTATTTATTGTTCACAATCCCGTTTTTGTTTTTATTAATTTTTCCCCAAAATTTATGAGATACTTGCATTTATTTATGTTTTAAAACCAATTTCCTTCCTAATCATGATTTACTTTCAATGTCAAACATTGCCCCAGATATCAGAAACCTGCAGGCCCGGCCCTAAGTTCAGCCCCGAAAACATGGAATGGGCCTTATTTTAGTCATTTTTAAATATTACCGAGTCGGTACAGGTATAAAAATTTAAAAAATACCCGGGCCGGGCCAAATATCTTAAAGCCAGATATCTTAAAGCCAAATATCTTAAAGCCAAATATTTGAAATCGCTTATTATTATCTACAAAACCGTTGGATTGTGCAAATGGTACCTCTGTAGGTCTCTGCCAGAAAATGTTAACGAATAAATGACTAAAATAAATGGGACGATAAATGAACATTTATTTTGGAATAAGAGCAAAATATATTTTTATAATTAAATATTGGTTTCTACGAATCATGAAAAGCTAAGTATTAAAACACAATTTAAGAAAAAAAGAAAGTTTTAAAAAAAAATGAGAATTAGATGTTACAATATATTTTATTTTAAATAATTTAGTTTGCTTTCTAAAGTGTATGCTAAAGAAGCTGTTTTAGAAGAAAATTTAGCATCTTCTTCTGATGATATTATTCATGTTATTGATGAAGAAAATGAAATATGTTTAGTATATAGAAAGATGTACATTTTTCTGATGTTTTTGTTTCTCATTGTAATATTAATTAAGAAGATTAATGAGTAAAATCGAGCTGAATTTAAATCTTGAATTTAAGCCTGATGAAAAATTATTAATAATTTATTAATTTTTTCTTAACAATGGAAAAAAATAAATATTATAAATTTAAAGTAGAATTTTTCAAAGGAAATCATAAAATTCACACTCTTAAAGTTTTTAATTTTATTTAGCCATTTGGACCGGGGTTATATGGCAAATGTTTTGCTCTTTTGTGAAAAAATTTTATTTTATAGAATAAAATTAATTGTATTGTAACACAAAATATTAAAAGAAAATTGTTCTACCTTTTATACTGTGGGCACTAATTTAGGATTAATTTAAAGTTGTGCTTTTAACTATTTACCGAAATCGTGGGGTAAGATGGCAAGCTCTTTGGAGTAAGATGATAAATGAATATCAAATTTAATTCATTAAATCTAAATAGAAAATTTTGGTAATTTGATACGTAACTCCACAATAAAGATAAAAATTAATAGATAATTCCTGGCACATATAAGATATGCTCATTTGAGACAATTATCGCATTGTGTCAAATCTTCGCGCATTTTAAATGACAATATTACATCTCTAAAGATTTTACAATCCCCTCTTTAACATGATCCTTATATATTTTATAAAAATTGAAGCATCAAAATTAACTAAAATAACCATACCTCCTACCCTCTTTCAACCTCTATTTCATTCTCTCCTCCCTATGTGGCAAAAGTGCTTACTCTCATAATTAAATAGTGATTCAGTTATAGACTCTTCAGCTGTTTCTAGATATAATAAGCGTTTTGGGTTATCACTATATAGGAATAATGCTCTCAAAAATGATTTCCTATATAGAAAGAAACCCATCTTTACAAATATAATCGGTAAAAATATTATGGTATAGCGGGTAGATTCCATCTGCAAAAAACCTATTTAAACTTTTTTAAGGTCGTTGTCATGGGAAATTATTGCTTCACAAATTAGCCATTTTACCTCTTATGTAAACCCATGGGAGATTTATTAAATGACTCTAGTAATTTTAGATGCTAGAAATTTCGGACCAAGTTTTATCTAGTTTCTTCTGTCATTCAGTGATTGAACAGAAAATCTATGTGAACGATAATCCTTAAAGGTCTATTTAGTGTCAAGTCTGGCTCAAGTCTTAATATACGCTCATATTCTATTTTTGCCATATTCTTTCATTTCTTCACCGGCCTCATCTCTCCCCTTTTCCAACAATCGCCAACTTTTCTAGTTTTTGGGTTCAAATCATAATATGTTTTTATCCTAAATAAAGTTTTCTCAAAATATGTGCTTAAAAAAACTGAACCTAATTAGTTTTCCTTTTTTAATATTTTTTACTAATACAATTTTTTTTTTGAATTATAAGTGATTTCAGTGAAAAGGTTCATGTGGCAGGAACTGTAGGGCAGAAATATTCGGCTGAAGCTATTTACACCGAATGGCTCAATTTCAAGCTCGATACAGTCAAAATTCAAACGTATCATGTCATGTTGACCTATCCTAATGAGAAGTTTCAAAATAATGTTTTTTTTTATCCTAATTTAAAAATTGATGGATATACGGTTAGTAAAAAAAAACAATATATATTAATCTTAATTGAATGAAAATTTTGTTAATATTTTTTTTCCACTTATTGAAAACGATATAACATAATGTACGTTATATTATAATATATCCTTGGGATTTCATGAATTTCCAGTAACCAACTATTTGACCACCTAAAAGTTTTATTATTACCGTAATTTTTAGAATTTGCTTTGAACTTTTATATTTAATATTATTTTTTTTCAAGTAATTTAAAAGTTAAAAAAAAATAATGCTCTACGTAAAAAATACGTTGAAGTTAACTAGGTTGTTAAAAAGCCAGATTTGAATCGATTTTTAAAAATGAACGTTAACATCTTAACCAAAATAGTATTATGTAACCCTAAAAATTTCGGCAGCAGAACAGTTTGGATGTCTATTTTCCGAATCTCGAGGCTTACATAATAATATATTGGCCAAAATCTTTATCGGGTCATTTTTAAAAATCCACCTAAATGGGGCTTTTTAACAACCGCTAACATATGTATAAGAAACCTTTCACAGTTGAAATCAAAATTTTTCATTATTTTGAAAACTATTTGCTTTTTCTGGTCGAAATAAATTTACAAATGCGAAAATATTTTTCAACTGCATAATTTTTTTGTTAAAACCTTTATTTAAAAATTAACTATGGTCCATTCATTTAAATCTGTATCAATAAAAAACAGCTGATGACACGCCATTTTAGTTTCTAATGTAAAATAAATAAGAATATAATTTGATGAAAACCTTAAAAAAAATATAGAGTTTTTTCCCAAGGCAGAGAAATCTGTTGATATAATTTAATCGGCAGACCTTAATGGGCATGTGTAGCCTAACATAAAATCCTTCATTTCGGCTCCCCTGTGTATTTATATATTTTTCCCTTCATTAATATTTTATTGAGGGGGCTTCATTGCCGAAAGTCCGTAGATGTATAATAGATGGCTATTGGAATGACTAGAATATTTAGATCTGAATATTTTTTTTCTCTTTAAATAATTTCGGTTTGGGAAATCAAGATTCTTATACGGGAAACCAACATGGCATGCTCCTAGCTGATTTTTTTTCAAGTAATGAGAGCTTATGCATTTTATTAAATATATCGTCAGTCTATGTAATTATTACAATGTAATTGAATCATTAACCTACCCTTAGAAAAGACAACAAGGTTTCATTGATTGACACGGGGGGTGACGTTAAATGGGAATCTTCCGGGATGAACAATTATTCGTCTCTAGATCAAAATGAGCCAGAATTGATTCCTCCTTATAACGCCAATTCAGCTGATGGAAATATTGAAGTTACTTTTCTTTTCTTTTTAAATTTTTTTTCTTGATATTAGACCGTGTCCATCTAGACTCCTTAATATCCGACTATTAAGCCGGTTTTTTTAATCAACTTAAATAGTCAAAAAAAAATACGTAAATAAAAATGCAAAAAAAATTATAATGACATCAAATATTAAAAATAGGGTATCCTATTCAAAAGCTTTTTAGCCTATACTAAAGAAGCAATTAAGTATCCAAATTAAGTCGAATCACATGACACATCGTTATGGATGATGCTAAAAATAATTGAGCGTTTTTTAAACAAACTGGAATGACTCATTTGCCATTCTTTCGTAACTATAATAAACATTAAAAAAACAAGTCGGATTTAGTTTACGTCAATTATGGTACCTACGATGACTTTTTGTATCTGAAAACCCGTTTAAACCTTTCATTGTCAGGTAAAATTGGTTTAGCCAGATATGGTTCCATCTTTAGAGGCTCCAAGGTTATGATTATATTTATTTGTAATTTATACACTCTTAAAATTTTTTTGATCTATTAAAAAAAAATACATTTACGACAGAGTAGGTTTAATTATGAGTTTATAACAACATCCTTTCCCACGCACCACATAGCCATTTTATATCTCCTCTATTTCTTTCTAAACCTTCATCCCCAAACATCACCTTCGTCATTTCAATTATAGATTTATATCATATTTTAAAAGGTCAAAAACGCAGAAGCATTTAAATTTGCTGGTCTTATCTTATACCCCGATCCTATCAATTTCGCTCTCGAAGGTATAGAAGTAAATGTAGTATACCCTAATACCTGGTGGATGCCAGAATCAGATGTTCAGAGGGGAAGCGTATCTGATTTCAGTGGAGATCCTATGACTCGGGGATATCCTTCTCTACGTAATTTTTTGATTTTGTTGTCTGTCAAGATTTTCGGAGTAAAATAAAAAGTAAACTACTTTACTAAGGTATTAAAAAATGAATTTCTAAAAAATTAATTAAATAATTAACTTAGCACAGAAAAAATGATTTGATTAAAGAAATAAGGGAGTGAAGGAAAGGAGAAAGGAAAGGAGAAAGGAAAGGAGAAAGGAAAGGAAAGGAAAGGAAAGGAAAGGAAAGGAAAGGAAAGGAAAGGAAAGGAAAGGAAAGGAAAGGAAAGGAAAGGGAAGGAAAGGAAAGGAAAGGGAAGGGAAGGGAAGGAAAGGGAAGGGAAGGGAAGGGAAGGGAAGGGAAGAAATTTAACTCAAGTATTATTTTTAATGAATAAAAATTTGCAAGAGAAAAATTTTTTTTGGGAATAAAAGTCTAAATAAGGATCTTAATAATTTTTATTGTTTTCGTGAGATTGCACACAAATATTCCAAAGATATGTTTTGATATTATCCATTTTTTTTCCAAAATTTTATAAATGAAAACTAAATATATCTACTTATCATATAAAAATCAATGTCCAAGCTGTAATTTATTTATCTTTTATAATAATATCAAATTTAAATATATAAAAATTATTTACGCTAATTTTGGGCCTATTTATAATCATATTATACTTTAAAATTTTTTAAATAAAGGTATATTTTAAAATAAAAGTTTAATTTCTGAATCGAGCGACATTTATAAATATTCAACTATACATGATATTTAAATATTATTGTCAACATGTACCTAATGATTCATTTTTTTTAAATATCAGTCAACCAATAAAAATTGTTCACTGGCAAAGGAAAGCCGAACTTGATAAAAAAAATATCACAATTTATTAATTCTAAAATAGATTGATCACAAGTCTGGCATATATTTGGTCACAAATTTTTTTTTAGGAGAATTTACTTTCTAATGTATAGCTCATTTTTTTTTATTTTTCACTTGGACAACGAAGGTTCTATATATTGCGGAGGCTTTATCGGTAAAGATCAGAGCGGCCCGACCCAAAATGACCCTTTAAGAATTTTGAAAGAGTATTTTAGTAACAGCCCTAAAAAAATTGGACTTCCCCGCCCGCACATGATAAATTTCTGTGAAAGAAATATCATGAATTTTATAATATTCAAGGTTTACAAAAGAATGCAAAATTCTGGGATGGTCCTAAAAAATATTTTTCAGATATCGCCCAATTAGACCTGATTTTTTATTTTTAGCCCTATCTAACCCGTTAATCTAGCTTTAGGGTTAGCTAGGGCTAGCGGATATCTGATGTATATTTTTCTCGCCATTTATAACATTTGTTAAAATCCAAAAATTATTTATTATCTTACAAATTGATGTTTAAATGCCCTTTTTAAAGGTTTTAGTAGTTTGTCATTACGTTATTCACTATATTTATCTAACAAGAATATTTTTGGATTATGGAAGATCAAGGTCATTTAGTAGGGTTTTGCATATTTGCGATATTTAGCGTGGAACAGGCCAAAATTTTTAAAGCCCTATTCCATTTATTAAATTTAAAGGGCCCAGGGAAAACCACATCTGATTTGGGCTGAACTACGCTCAGAGCTGAGCTCTAACCGACAAATTCTTTACCTCCTTAGAATTTTACTGAGGTGCTAGATTTGCTTGCACAATTAAAAACGAATTTCTCATTCCACCATTTGTTATTCCTAAGTTTATTATTATTTTAACTGACTAAACAAAAATATTTTAAATAAGTCTATGTTTTTTTAAATTTTATGTAGCCTCTATGTATAGGGAAATGCCGCCAAAAAATTCTCTACCTTCCATACCAGTTTATCCCATATCATACTCAGATGCCTGGCACCTATTGAGTAGCATGGATGGCGCGATCGTTCCTAAGGAATGGCAGGGTGGCTTAAATTTTACTTACAAAACTGGACCTGGATTTATTGATTCTAAATCTGAATGGTAAAAAAAAATTATTGAATCGTGTTTTAGATTCCTTATTCTCAGTTAGGTTTGAAAAAAAAATTCCTTGAAGATTTTTTATTTGGCTAAAATATTTAGCAAAACAAAAAATTAATCAAAATCACAAATTTTTTAAGAAGAAAATAAACTTGGCCCGATCCCAAAGGAATTTTCATTTTTATTTGTCCCGAAAAGCCCGACACTAATTAATTGTCCGCCCAGCCCGGTCCGAATTTATTTAAATATAGAAAAATTTAATATATTCTTACAAATATAAAATATTAGGGCCTTGTTTCTTGCAAATATATTAATTTATTTGACAAAATGTAATGATTTCATATTTAAAATTTTAAGACCGGCCCGACCCGAAATTTTTTGAAAATATTATGCTACCTCCAAACCAAAATTGTTTTTAGAAAAACCCAGCCTGGTCCAGATATCTATAATAAATGATATATCTTCTAGATTTATTATAATATGTTGAGCCGTTAAGGCTGCATTCATAGTTGGATACGATCCGTCACGATTTAACAACTGATCGATTCTTGAAATCTGTTTATTGGGATCAATTTTAGTTTTGTTCATATTGATTTCATCTTTAATTATATTCAGGATAATAATCTATGAATTACTGATTTTAAATAAAGAAAAATTGATCTCATAAACAGATTTTTATCGATCAGCTGTTAAATCGTGACCCAATCATCCCGCTATAAATGCAATCATCTAAGAATGACGGTTCAGTTCTGCTAGGAAGACAATTTGGAATTTATTTTATTTTATAATAATATATGAATATGATAAGCAAGCATAACATTGTTTATTTTTTAGGCATATTATAATAAAACGCACACATTTTTTTTTGATTTCATCATGCTTTATTTTATCATAATACTTTTCAAAAAAGTGAAGACCGCGTATATATTAAACCCGGGAGTATATTAAGCCCTGGTTAGAGCGAGATGTAACCTTTTTCGATAATAATATAATCTAAGGAGCTAATTATTCAGAATAATCTAATGCATAATAGATAATACTGTTATGATGTTTATTCATTGTGAACATGATCACGATTTTTGTATCTGCATAAAGGTAACTTTTTACTTTTTTTCAAGAATCAAAATTATTATTTTAACTACCCAAATATCTTATATGAAGAGAATAGAGAATAACTCTCCTTTTTATAGAAAGGTTAAAATAAAAGTGTTGGGCTTATATTTAAAATAATCATAAAAGTACATTGAGAAATTATAAAAAGAATTATGAATTTGAAAGAAATATATTACATTAGTTATTCAATAATCTCTTGTAAATGTAATATAATAATCCAACCATTCCTCCTACTAAAGGAAGGTTAAACTCGAAATAAATTTAAAGAGGGAAAAGAGACCAATCTACAATGTGATAGGGCGTATAAATGGAGATATAGAACCTGACAGATACGTAATTATAGGTAATCACAGGGACGCTTGGACATATGGTGGCAGTGATCCTGTAAGTGGTACTGCTTGCATGTTAGAAATTTCGAGGGTGTTTGCATTATTACATCAAAACGGTATCATCATTATAATTAATTAAAATATGGATTAAGGAAGGGGGTATGTCCTGATCAGGAGAATGTTTATCAAAACATTAGGTAAGTTCAGATCATTAAGATTTTTATTACACACATTAACTTTATTAAATGTTATAATTTTTTAAAAAAGTCGGATCTTTACCATTTCAATTACAAAATGTATACTAAATTTGTTTCTTATTATATCCTTTAAAAAAATTAATAACATTTCACGAACATGAGGTTGGTATCCTCGAAGGACTATAATTTTCGCCAGTTGGGATGCGGAAGAATTCGGATTGGTAGGTTCCACTGAATACGTTGAGGAAAATATGAAAGTTCTAAAAGAAAGAGCAATTGCCTATATAAACGTCGACAATTGTGTTACAGGTCTTTCTTTCTTTCTTAATCAAATTTTAAAAATAGAACCTAAAAAGAAACCTAATCCATATGTGCATAGAATCTAATCCAGAACAGAATTATATATTTTTTTAATCCTAAACCTGTACTATTATTAGACCTGTGCGTCGCCGGTCAAATACGCTGACAAAAAGTGGCAGAGCTCAACACGCCACCGCCGATGTAAAAATTTGGCGGCCTGGTAGAGTGTTACATATTTTTTATCATTAAAAAT